ACTGAAGTCATCATCTTCTTCAGTGTCGGAGTTGAACAGCCTCAGAAGAGCTTTGTCACATACCTTTTCTGTGGCGATGTCAGTGTCACTGTCCGTGTTGCTGTCCTCATCCCGGGGTGAAGCTGGGAAAACAAGCAGCGCCGTTTTACTGTGAAAAAAATCCTCCTGGGCGCTTTCCGTAGCACTCCTTTAACCATTCCTTCATTAGACTTTCTAGCATCCATCCTTTCTGGCTGACTAAAGCTGCACCTCATTATAAGCCACATGGTTCAAAGCGTGGGGAAAAGTAGCGACTTATAGTCCGGAAAATACGGTACATGAGCGTTTTCAATTTTGATTTAAAAGTTATGGAAGCTGATTCCATCTGTGTGCAGCATAGTAGCTAAAGCAGCTTCACCCTGTTTGGTTCTGACCCGAGGTTCTACCAGCTGACTGTTTCCTAAGGATCTCAAAGCCCTGATGGGCGTGTATATACAGGAAGGAGGTCCAGCATGTATTCTGGCCCCAAGCCATTGTGTGATTTATAAACTAGTAGAAGCACTTAGAAATTATTTCTGTAGTTTACTGGTAACCCGTGTAGAGATTTAAAAACATGAGTGATGTGCTCGGTTCTCTTGGGTCTTCTTACGACTCCAGCCGCAGCATTCTGAATGAGCTGCAGTTGCTTTGCAGCTTTTTTGGGAAGACCAGCCAAAAGACCACTGCAACCCTAGTCCAGCCTGCTGGAGATGAATGGGTTTCTCTATGTCTGGTCTGGACATGAGACCCCTGAGTTTTGCTATGTGATGAAGATGATAAAACGCTAATCTAGTTATAACCTTAATGTGACCAGTGAAGCTTAGGTCTGAGTCAATTATTACACCAAGATTTCTAACCTGGGTCTTTGTTTTTATTCCTCTGGAGACAAGTTGAGCAATAACCTCCCTTGAAATCAAATACAATCCATTTAAAGTTTTACCACATACCTACCAATGCCATGTTGTTGGAGGTGCAAACACACTGACTACATATTTGCCCTTTTCAGCTGATACTTTGGAAAGAAGTTTAACTCAGTATGGCCTTTAAAATGCATCTTCATCATAAGTAAAATGGCTTTGCAACAGTTTAGGATTGAAAGAAAGTCTAGCTGTTAGCTAATCTCTCTTTCTTCAAAGCAAAGGCATTCAATGATCTTTCCTTCATGATATCTGAATTAGTTTTTTATACTTTCTGGCATTCTTCAAATAATCAAAACAAATTCCCACTTGTTTAGATTTTTCAAGTGTTAACAGATGATTTAAAGTTGTAAAGACATGGCATCCCTATTACCTGTTGATGGTATGACAGGAACCGTGGTGCTGACTCGCAGCATGTGTGATAATAATAAGAATAACGTGTATGTGGATGCTCTCTTTGATGGGAAAGTTACTGATCTTGTTTGTAGATAAACATCTTTATTCACATTCTATCTTCATCACTTATGGAATGGTTTCATACACTACCATTTATTCTTTATTTACATGTGCATTGTTGAATATCGTTTTCATTACCCTCCCGCCAAGTGCCCACTCTGCTGCCGATTTAGTGTTTCCACAGTTAGATGAGAGTGATAAGCTCTCCTAGACTTCCTAATGAGAGGGACTGTTGAGATTTTCATCAGTGATCAATGTCCTCTTTGGCCTCACGCCTTCCTTTGGTTAAATGGGTATCTGTTTGTGGGTGATACAGTGTTACTCTGCTTTTTATTTGCATTTCTCACTCCAACCTGGTGTTTTTCATGCCTCCATTCTTCTCCTCTCTTTGTTTCTTGTCTTGTCTCACCTCACGTCTTTTCTTTTCATCTCCACCTTCATGAGCAAACTGCTGGAGGAAAATTAGATTCGGCCTTGTCTTGAGCTCACAAACTTTGAGACTATCATCTTCTTCTTTACCAGACATCATTAACCCAGAGACCCTGTCTCTGAAGGCAGCTCAGATTCTATTTTACATTTGATCTCTATTTTTCCTCAGTGAAATGTTTTCTCTGCGTCGTCGCCCTCATATATATATATATATATATTTACCTTTTTTCTTCCTAAATCGTTTCAAGTGTGTTTAGTTTGCCAGTGGTTCCTCATGTATTATTTTTCTGCGCTGGCACACTTTGCAGTATAATTTTCTGATTAGCCGTGTCTGTGTTTCAGCTAGACTCTTTCTACTTGTGTTGTTTGGAGGTTTCTTCATGTTTGACCAGCTTTAGGGATCAGACTTTACCAGAAGACAGCTCAGTAAGGACGACAAGGGGCCTGATTTTGAACTTGAAAACATAAGGTAGCGATGCGAGTTGATATGATGGGTCAATACGTTGTGGTATTTTATGAAGTTCGTTCTGCCTTCTTGCTGTTATAAATATTTATCCCAGCAAGCTACAGGCTGGTGACACATCAGGTCATGAAACATTAGCAGTCAAAGAAAATAACAGCTAATAAGCAATGCATCCATGCAGATGTATGATTATTCAGTATTTACTTTACAGTATTTACTTATTTAGTTTTTGAAATTCAAGGTTTTTTTTCTGTTTTGTATTTTTTTTATTTTATTTTCTGAGGGTGAGGTGTAGAGAGATATTTACATTGTTCACTAGATTTACAGACTAAGGGCAAACATAGTCCTCTAGATTATTTTTATAAAGGACAGTTGCAAAAATGCACTTTAACAATGAGGAACAAGTCATGAACTAGTTGTAAACTAATACCCAGTTATCGTTATTCATTAGTTATAATTAAACTAATAGTAATGAAAATGTTATACTCATGGTCAGATTGTGATTACGTTATAGTTAACCTTAAATAACAGATATTTAATGAAAAGAATGGCTAGTAGAACTAGTGATGAAATCTCACTTCAATATGGAACAACAGTGTTAGTCAGTTGGTTAGAAGGTTAGTTGGTTTGTTTGGTTATTAACTAAACGTTAGATCTTTAATGCTGAATTATTAGTTAGTTAATGGTCCACTGGAGGTCAATTAATGTTTTATCAAATGTTAGTTATAATAAATTGTTGATTATTTATGTATTAATGATTACTGAAAATTAAACTTAAAGTCTTTGGTATGAGTCAGCTGTGGATTTGAACCCCAATCTCCCCGTCTCAGGGCGGACACTCAGACCACTAGGCCACTGAGCTGGTTAATGATAGTTAATAATCAACGCAAAAAATAGTGTTCATTAAGGATAAATTAATGTTTAGCTAATGGACTATAGATAAGGATTAACAATGGTTAACTACCCTTGAGCCAAGCATTTTTTAATGATGGTACTCCAAAAATGTTCCGTTGATTGTTGGGATTAATTAACAGTAGTCAATTACAGACAAAGAATATTATAGGTCCTTTATTAGGATATGCCCCCCCCCAAAAAAAAAAACTTCTATTCATATTATAAGCACACATTAAGTTTTAATTTCCTTATTAAATGATAAATATCATGGATTGTTCGAGCAATGTGGCTTTGCATCCAAAATGTGGTCTTTCCAACCATGCCTCCACCGGCTAGGCTATGATACTTCCACTCTCATACCTAACCGTTCAAAAATGTTTATTTTGTTTTTTTAATAGTTATTTACTTCATAACCCTCCCTTTGTTTACTGCTGCCAAAAATAATTAGATTTGGTTCATTCTTATAAGTCCAGTTTTCAGACTCAATGGTCTTATTTCTTGCAGTCTTCTCAGTTTGGAAAAAGTTTTCCTTTGCCACTCAGACTGAAATATTTAACACACATACTCATTTTCTACTCATTATTTTCTGTTTTGCTAACTTTTATATGCAGCAGCAGAACACAACCGGACTATAATCCTGCTGCATGAAGGCTGTTTCACTTGTTGCATTAACAATCACGCCGATTCTCTCTGCACAGTCATGACAAACAATCAGAAACCTTGAAAAATTTACTAGAAATTCTGGAGCTTCCGGACTCAGACTATTGTGGGTGTAAATGCTAAAGGAGTGAAATGAAGCTGTTACTTCCAGAAGTAGCACATCTGAAACTCTGACTGGAAGAGAAAAGCTTATTAATCATCCTTTGTCCCTCATTTTGTATTACTTTCATCCCCCATTTTCCTCCACACGCCTTCACTCTGATCCGTCTACCTCCACTGAATTTGTCGAGCCAAGATAGAGAAACGAAATATCAGCACAATAGATCATTCTGACAGTTTAATTTCGAAGCCTGATTATCAGTCAATTTGATAATTATATTATCCAACCATCCAATTAATGTGTTCTATATTTACAATGATGATCAAGTAAGCTCTCTATTTTTACATCGTTTATAAAAGGTGAGATATTGGAAACACAAGGGACCTTGACAGTTTGCCTCTGAGGCTTCTTGATGAAGATATAAAAATCTGTGTTGCCACATTTAGTATGTGCATCACCCTCCAGAGAGGTTCTCACCAGTCTCCTTCCATCCATTCCTTCACACTCAGCAGAGCATGTTCAGAAGCTGCAGCCAGAGTGAGAGACAGAGCGAAGCAGAGAGCGGGTGAGCGAGCGATGAAAGGATTTTACGCCTCCTCCTTGGCTCCGCTCTTGTCCTGTCTGCTCTACGTAGCTCAGAGGGAAGTGTTGCACCGTGCCAATGAGTTACTGACACACAAACATACAGAGCACAGGATGCAGGACCAATCTTTCATGACGTGTTTCCTTGCTCTGCTCTCTCCTGTTATCTCAGTGTCTCTGAGACTTACAGAACTGGTTAAATGCATCAAACACAGGCAGCAGAGCATCAGTGGGGATTAGGTAGCTCCAAATGAGACATAGAAAGGCTTCTTCTTCTGGAGCATGACGGCCTTGTGTCTACATGCCAGTATTGATTTAAAAAATGGAAATATTTATTTTTTGTAAATTTTTACATCAGCATTTGTCGTTTTTGTGAATGTGTGGTCCCTGGATGTAGACGTGGAGTTTCATAACTAAATATTATTAATTTGGGAGCTACTTTTTAAAAGTTCTTTAAAATGATAAATGCCTTTTTTTGCAGATGATGTGCCTCCCTATTTCAAGACTGAGCCTGTGCGCAGTCAGCTTCATTTGGAACGCAACAGGCTGGTGCTGACATGTATGGCTGAGGGCAGCTGGCCGCTGGAGTTCAAATGGATCCACAATAATACTGAACTAACACGCTTTTCACTGGAGTACAGGTAAGTCAGCTACAACTGATGTAAACCAGATTTAACTTTTAGACAGCTCTCTTAATCGTCATGGAAGCAGGTGGAGCTCAGGTGTTTGAGAACGCTCGTTTGACATAAAGCTGGTTTGTTTCCTGGCTTCTCCTGATGTAGTGGTCTCCTCAGCAAGACTCTGTTGCACCTTTTGACACATTTTAGAGTTCTTTATGGAACCAATCTAAAGTTCAAAGGTTCTGTATAAATGCTGGAAATGTATCATCTACCAGACAAACAAGTGAGCTGATGGGAAAAGGTCTGGTGACAAGTGATCATATCTTACCTGTGAGTGGATTTATATTGATCTCACAACTATCCAATTCATGTAACGTGCACGAGCAACAAAAAGCAGTTTGATTTGATTCAACTCTTATTCACAAAACAGTGTGATTCAGTCTGAATCGTATTCAAAAGACTGACATCCAACCTTCTCGGTGGCCTGGATTCACCCTGAATCACACTGCTTTGTAGACTGGGACTGGGAGATCAGGGTTCAAATCTGCTCGGTTCTTACCAAAGACTTCAAAAATAGGGCCCAATGCCTCCCTGCTTAGCACTCAGCTTTAAGGAGTTGGATTGGGGAGGTTAAACCACCAAATAGTTCTTGAGCACAACCACTGTTGCAGCTCACTGCTCCCCACGGAGATGGGTCAATGCAGAGGTTTGTTTTCACCAGTGTGTTATGAAGACTTGTGGGACTTTAACTTCAACTTTGAATCAATATGACAAAGCAAAGAATGTATTTGTTAACTAAAACAGCACATTCCTTACCAACTAATAAAAATAAATGTGCCTGTTTATTGTTTTAAAACTTGTGAGAAATCTTCATAAGTCAAGACTCAAAAAGAGATCTAGAATAAAATTTAAAAGAACACACCCACCAGGCACCTTTAATGTTGTTTTAGTTGTTTTAGTAACACTTAACAATGAGTCCCTTTATTAATGCCCCCACCCCCCACCCCACCCCACCCAGCCTCCATTTCCTGGTTCAGATTCTGACAAAATCATTAAACTGAGCAACAAGTCCAACAACACCGTGTTTGTGCTGATTTATGTTTCTGTGAAGCACACAGATCACCTTACACTGTTAACTGGAGTAGCATTCGCCCCACCACCACCACTTAAAAACACCATGATTTTGTGCAGGGTGGTAGACAATGCATTTTTAAAATCACCTTTTACCAAACCAAATTAAACCCTTTGGTAATCTTTAAAACACCAGTAGTCATTTTGTTGCACAAAAATGTGTTTGTACATTTTCAAAGAAGCATTCTTGTTTCACCAGGCTGTTGCCAAATAATTATTAGCCGGTCTACTTTTCCTTTTTTATTGCCTTTGCTTGGCTCCTTCCCCTCTCAGCTCCGTGACCTCCATCACTGTCTCTGGAGAGGTTGCAAACAAGCAAAAGGCATGAATGAGGGTTAGGGCAGGAGATAAACCGTCTTTAATGGTAACTGGAAGATCCTAATCAGGTGGCAAACATTGCTCTTATCTCGGAGAGCAGTGTGTGTCTGCACCGAGAGTTTCCACGGCGGTGTAAATGGAGCACTGGAAGGGTTTAAGAAAAGCTTGCTGACATGCAGCTGATCTTTGCTGAGCTGTTGTGGTCGTGTGTGAGAAACAGAACAAATGTGGAAAACAATGGAGGCTGATCATACAAGCAGGACCAGCCAAGTTGATGAGGGGTTTTTCTGGAGACAGATAAGGCTGCAGCAGCGTAGCAAGGTCATAAGTGGCACACAGATGCCACAACAGTTGGTCCGAATGGAATGTACTTCAGGGTAATGCTGTATGCTGGAGCTTTGTGTCAATTTGCCAAAATGGGTAGTTAAACAAGCATCCCAGAGTTATTTTGGTAATGTTTCCACCCCTAAGAAATATTTGGTTGTTTATGTTTTTTCTTTGCCTTTTGTTAATTTTATAAGTCTCATCCACGTAGACTGCAGTCAGAGCAATATCAATTTGGACAATGCCTCAGACATTCTCCTTTTCTTCTCACGAGAACATCTAATTGTGCTCATCTCCACATCTATTCAAAGTAGCACCATTGCAAACAACTTGATGCAAGTCTTTTCTCATAAAAACCATCTATCCAATTTTTTCCCTCTCATCTAAGTTCGGGTCGTTGAGGTAAATGGTACAAGAAGAAAGCCCACATCCTTTTTTTTTCAGCTCCTCCTGTGAGATCCCAAAGGCTACCATGCAAAAGAAAACACACAATCTCTCCAGTGAGTTCTGGGTCATCTCTGGGGATTTCTCCTGATGGGACATGCTTGGAAAACCTTCAAAGGGAGGTGACCAGAAGCATCCTAATTAGAAAAAAACACCCCAGACTCCTCGTGATGAGGAGTTTAAGCTTCTTCATCCTCCTTGTCCTTCAGTCTTAACCCAACCTCCCATGGAAGAAGCCCTTCTCAGCTGCTTGTATCTGGGATTGTGTATTTAATAACTTTAAACTAATGGTATGGTTGGAGTGTAAACTGACCAGGAAGTTTAGAGCATCAGCTTTTATCTCCATCATTAAAAACCAAAACAATGCCCTCTTTACTAAAGAACCAAAGTCTCGTTCTGTTGTCTTATCTCCCACTCTATTTTACCATCACTCATGAACACAACACCAAGATACTTAAACTTTTCTGCATAAAAATAAGGACTCACTCCAAACACAGATGAAGCATGTCACCATTTCCTGGTTGAGAAAGAACCAGAGTAGCTGAATACAGTGGCTTTAGGACGCAGACAGAACCACATCATCACTAAGCACATGACACCCTGAGTTTCATAAGACAGACCCTCCTCTATGACCACCACATTCAGGATCAAAACTCCAACACAACGATATGGGCTGCATAATGGCACAGCTGTTGTATCACAACAAGGACTTTGCAAGTTAAAGCTTGGCTGCAGCTGTTTTGCACAGTCAGCTTGTTCTCCTAATGCATGTGTTGGTTATCATCAGCTACTCCTGTTTCTCTCCACAGTCCAAAAATATACATTTTAGGTTAATTCACTACTTCCTACTTGTCACATCCACAATGGTAAGTCCCTGAGGATAAAATGGTCTTCTTATTTACTTAACTATTTTCTTTATTTGGCAGACGCTTTTATCCAAAGCTACGTACTGTCATTAACCTGTAGGGCATGCTGTGATCTTCTAATTCAACTGAACCAGCATGGAACACTTGTTAACATTTTGGCCAAAGAACTTGCAACTGTGGGCATAAAAAGCTACCTAAATATCTTTCTGCAGATCAGCCATTACTGTTTTGTCTGCTGGTCTGGTCCCAGGAAACAACACTATGATGGTATGTGACAGAGACGGGAATTGTGGAATCAACAAGTCAAATCCATGCCGTCCTTTTTTTTTTTTTGCTCAGCAACTGAACAAGGTTCATGCACAGTGCTGATTGAAATCGCCTGGCTTAGTTGCTGAACTTAAGAAAAACACGGCATGGAAGTAATTTGTTGATGGCACAATTCCTCATCAGTGGTATTTGAAGTCTAGTCAGAAAGACATTTTTATTTTGGTTGGCAAAACAATCAGGGTTCAAACTATGGGGGAGGAGTAACCCAGCTTTGTCAGGTTGTCGTGTCCCCCGCGAGCTAATACCGCAGCGCTGACAATTGAAATGTGACGACGACCGGCAAAAAACTCCAGAGTTGTTTAAAGTGGTTGCAGTAATGAAATTTGACCACATGATGTCATTTTTACCTAATTTCGACATGATGCACCTCTAACCAAAATCTCTTTACCTGAAAGCACTTTCCTGCTTAGCTATCACCCATTTATTTTCAAAAGAAACAATAAGTGAAGCAAATGTTAAGATTACATGATTCAAGCTCTACATTCTCTATTTATTGTGCATTTGTGTTGTGTCTCTGCACCTGTGTCTTCATTCTCTGTGCCAGCAGAGTATTTGCTCACAGCGGACCCCCATGGCAATGAGGTTATGGATAAGATCCCCAGTGCTGAGTGCTGCTTTAAATATTGACACCGTGCGACTTGACCTTGTGTCCTCTGGCAAGCGATCAATACTGCAAGGCCTGCATGGGCATTATTATTCAACATTTAGGTGTGTGGGAGAGAGTGTTCCAGAAGAGGGAAGTGATGGGAGCTGTTTTAGTGATCGGCTTTAGGAATGCTGTTCCCAGGAGGATCCAGGCTTAGCATTGACCGCCGTCACTTAATATAAACACCTTCAGAGTTTCTGCACAGCATTTAGCCAACTTCCTGCTTTCTTTGCTCCCTAAAAGAAACCATTCAATAGATTATTTACCAAATTGGAATCCAACTTTACAAGAAGAAAGAAAATTCAATATAGTTAAGTGTTTCTGTACGCTTCAGCCAGAGAAATGTCCAGCACATGATTCTTTAATTGATCAATAAATGCACGGCAAAATACCTCAGTCTTCTATTGCTTTGTATTGGCCAAAAGCTCAGGGGTAAGAAGCTGGCACACCACCCATCTGTAGGCTGCCAATTAACCTAGAAACTTCATTAAGAGAGTTAATTATTAATCAAACCTCGAGAGCCGTTTCTGTCAGTCGGTTAGATTTTAGCTGTATCAGGGTTTCTGATCGATGAAACGGGAAATTTGTTTGCTTTTGGTTCCTTTTGGTCACACAGAAAGAAGAAATAAAAGTGTTAAACAGCTTTAGAGAAGTGGAGAAGAACAAATGCACGGCACTAAACAGTTGCTAACTGAAGGCAAGGAAAAAGTATGATGGAAGAGGCATGACAGGCGCAGCAGCACCAGTTTGTGTTGATGGTCTTTTGATCTTTATCTCTGCTTATTCTCCCTTGTTGTTGTCAGTTCTTGAGGGGAGAAAATTAGTTTTTCTTTTTCCCCTCTCATTGAACTCCCACAGCAAAATAAAGTCTTTCTCTGGTTTTTAACTATCAAGAAAAAGAAACAAGAAAATCTAGAAATGAGATTAACATTTTGACAGCCGCAGTAATAGTGTGTCACTTTGGT